AAGGTCGAAAAGAGTTTCTAATGACAGCACACACCAAGTGGGCGTGTTAGCGCAGCCAGCATTTGTGACAGATTTCCGGTGGGAATTCGAACGAAAAACGAAAAGGAGTCCTTCCGAGTCCTTCCGGTTTTCAAATTGTTGACCAAAACAAATGCAGATTTTTTTTTCTTTTCGTTCTTATCGTAGATGATGGGTATCAAGCTAATGATTTACACGCGAAATTGAATCCTTATTTTCCGTGGAGGTCAAAACTGGTCTGATTTCAGCACACTACAATGAAAGCAATGGTGCGGGTCGGGCTGTCAGTAAGGAATGAAAGGAAAATAATACATCGAACAACAAAATGGTTGCTATGGAGTTAAAGGCTTGCTCACTTCTGTGCTAACGCAAGGAAGACATCGGTCTCACCGCCATCCGGGATAATCGATCCTGACTATACTCCCCTTGAAATGCTGAGCTCGACCTTACCTTCCTTCTCTGCTAAACCCTTCCCTGAACAGAATTATGAAGCGGAAAGCGCAGTGGCAGTGATTGGGGCTCATGGAAAAGAGATCTAGGGAAATCTAACTCCTTTGAGCGAACTTCTAGCTAGGATCTGTTCGCACCCTTCAGCTCGACTCATAGATGTAGCTTCAGCCGACCGCTGATGGAATAACGTATTCAAAGGACCTCCTTCAGGTATGTTGAAAGAAAAGCAAAATCCAGATTCCGTAAGAAACCGAACCCTTCACCCAATGTTCAATGGCAAGACCGCTACCAGCTGCGCCACTGAAGCAAACTTTTACTATAGTGTTGTCCCCATAATTAGTGACTCACTTTACATTTATTGCCATAAATTCGAAGAAAAATCTTGAAGGCGCGAAACATGTTTTGCCATGTAGTACCCACAATGTCTTACCTGAGCAATTAGTCAGCCCATTCAATGTTGCCTTCCGAGGCTGAAACTTCAATTTTTTTGAAACCTTTCCCCAGACACGATATGGAATCGCCATGTTCCCTCTAATTTCCCAGAATTCCTTTCAACAATCATCATGCGAATTCACCAGTGTTGTGAAGTGGGTGAATTGTACTAGCAAATCCACAAGTAGCAGAAGTCTAGCTTAAAAGATTCGGGAGTGCTGACAGCAATAGCCTAAGCTTCTCTGTCGGACCTGTATGTCCGACACTTCTGAGATGTTGGTGGAGCACGAAAGAGACCTTGCGCTGGGAAGCGCTGCCCACTACTACTAGGGCCAATGAATAAGGCAAAGGTCGACAGCATAATGGCGACGCGTTCCATCTGAAGGTAAAGCAAGACAAAGTGTGGTTTTGATCCGAGGTCATTCGACCCCACCTTTCGGAAAATGTTCATAAAGAATTGGAGACCTTCAGGCTAGCAGTTGTTCCAGCTCCACCGTGTAGCCCTATCCTCGTATCACCTAAAGACAGTCTAGTCTAAGTTATATTACTCTTCTTCAGAAAGAAATTTTACGCTAAATGACATGACCTTAAACCCGACTTTCGATCATTCTTTGATCAATAGCTTCTGGAATTCTTGAGAAAAAATGACGACTGAATTTCTATTAATAGCCAATGGTTTGTAGATAACAGAGATGTACGTTCGGATGAGCAAGCACCTCATATGAAAAAGAAAAAAATTAGAATTGAAAAATGCCCAAAGTGAGTCACTAATTATGGGACAACCTAATAGTTCTTCGCGGCGTTCATAAGTGAGCCTACCTGTTGCAGGCAAGACGCTAAAGAGTAAGGGCGGAAATCTCTCTGTGTGATGAAAGCAGATTTGAACTCAGCGCACCGAGATGGAGATTTAAGGCAGAAGATGTATAGAAATTTACAACAAATTTCATTTGGCCGGCTTGGCCGCACGAAAGCAGATTCGAGCTCAACCCTCGAAATGCGCATAGAAGCGTACTCTGCATTTCATTTGGCCGGATTGACCTAGTAATTTCCCGGTGTGAGAATGAATGAGGGACTGAGCACGTAGGAAACACGAGTAAACACTGCACGAAAAGATCACTAGGTCAACCCGGCCAAATGAAATGCGAGTTTGGCCAGACGACGAAAAATGGAAGCGGTCAAAGCGTTCTTTATAACACCACAGCTTCCTTATTGTGCACTTCAGAGCCATGATAGTAGGACGTCTGCGACTTTCTTAAATAGCTCTGTTCTACCCACCACGAAGATTCATCTACCTGAAGTCTCCTTGGCTGCCCGTTCGTGATCCAATCGGATAAACCGGGCCAAGCTTGGCTTGGGGGCGACATGGGTCCACAAGCACAAAACACATTCAGTCAAGCATAGCCCCGCCCATGGGCGGTGCCAAGGGCTAGAATCTCCACTTCGGTTATAGCACATGCCAAAAACGGAGAAAAACAGGTCAAGGTGCACATGGGGGGTCAGGTCAGACTCGGGAAACCCACCCGTGAGC